CCACGCAGTGTCCAAAAATGATAACTCTGCGTCTGGATCTTGTAGCTCACGACTTCCATTGTTTACACGAATTAGTAGCTGAACAGACATTCGGAAGCCTAATCTGAGAAGTGACACACCCCGTAATGGGTTGTGCTATGGGCTTAGAATCCAACCTCGGATGAGAACCCCTCCTTTTCTGACGACCATAACAGACGAATAAAAGACTAGGAGTGAGAGCCCGTCACGGAGTACTGTCGTTCACCTTAGTCGACGACCGTCTCGCTACAATCCGAAACAAAGCAGGAGTTTTGAAGATCTGCCCCGTTACGATAGAAAAATCGTGGTTGGTGATCTCGAAAAATTTCACGACGGAATGTCTGATAACGGACCGAGACTGATTAACTTTGCTAAGGCCCGAAAATGGTAGTTTTCAAAAAAGCTCCCTCAAGCCACGTGGCTGCATTTGCAGGAAACAGACATTTTCCGCGTCAGACATTTCGACATCTCTTATATTGGGCCCCTGCTCTTCCCCACGCTCAGATAAAGAATCTGCTCCATCGTCCACAATGGTGTCACAAAGATACTGAATATAAGCCTCGTCTTCTCCAGCAGACAATATGTAAAAGAAAAGGCATTCAAAATTTTAATTTGACACAACATTTCATTATGTTATCTTCTGTTACCTTTTATATGCACTGGAAGATATTTAGACTGTCGTTGTATGTATTTTGAAGCCTATTTCTTCTGTGTATTTACATACTTGAATTTTCGCGGTTAATATATTAACATTCTTAATTAACTAGCGCTCATACAGTATTGGATTAAACCCATAACAATTGCTATTATGCCTCTAAGACATTAAAAACTAGTAAGTGGACACACAAGTACCCCGGTTATGTGTTAACGTGGTATTTTTTGGTTATGTGTTCTACGGTTAAAACGAAAGTATGCATATGCAAAATTTCGATATTTTTTCATATCCATTATTTGGGTTTTCAACCGAAACCGTGCATGTATGCATTACTTCGGGTTTTTTAAATGCAGTATTTCTGTTTTCAACCCACACTGTGCATGTATGCATTACTTCGTTTTTGACATATGCGTTATTTCGGTTTTCAACCGAAATTGTGCATACATGCATTAGTTCGGTTTTAAAATGAAAGTGGGCACATGGATAATTTCGTTTTTTTTTTCTAATATGAATTACTTCTACTTAGTAAGGGTAACAATCCCTTAGTAAGGGTTATAATTCCTAGGCCGAAGGCCGCCTACGAAAAAAGTTCTACGCAAAAATACTTCCCCCTTTCCGGCAACACAGAAAGCAGAATTCTACTTAATAAGGGTTACAATCCCTAAGCTCGGCCGAAGGCTGCCTACGTAGAGAGAAATTCTGCGCAAAAATACTTCCGCCCCTCTTTTCCGGCAATCCAGAAAGGAGAGTTCTACTTAGTAAGAGTTATAATCCCTAAGCGCGGCCGAAGGCCGCCTACGCAGAAAGAAGTTATGCACAAAAATACTTCCGCCCCCCTTTTCTGGCAACACAGAAAGGATAGTTCTACTTAGTAAGGGTTACAATCCCTAAGCGCGACCAAACGCCGCCTATGCAAATCTTAGTTCTGCGCAAAAATACTTCCGCCGCTCTTTTCCGGCAACACAGAAAAGAGAATTCTATTTAGTAAGGGTTATAATCCCTAAGCGCAGCCCCAGGCCGCCTTCGCAAAAAAAAGTTCTGCGCAAAAATACTTCCGCCCCTCTTCTAACACAGAAAGGCGAGTTCTACTTAGTAAGGGTTATAACCGATAAGCCCGGCCGAAGGCCGCCTACGCAGAAAGAAGTTCTGCACAAAAATACTTCAGCCCCCTTTTCTGGTAACATAGAATGGAGAATTCTACTTAGTAAGGGTTATAATCCCTAAGCGCGGCCGAAGGCCGCCTACGCAGAAAGAAGTTCGTTTTCATGTATGCACTATTTCGGTTTTTGTCATATGCATTATTTCAGTTTTGAGTCGAAACTGTGCAGGTATGCATTACTTCGGTTTTTGTCATATGCACACTGAGCCAAAGCAAAAGGGTTTTTTCAACCAAGTTATGGTTTGATTTTCCATGGTTAACCCTCCGATGAGTGACAGTGCCGATGACGTTAGATTCGTGAGAAGGTCCTTAGGGACCTACAAAGAGTTGCTCGATGTTTCGACTGTACATGTGCAACTTCTTTGGTATTTATGTTGTCTTTTGATTAAATTAACGTCCTGCATATATATTAGGAATGAAATAATTTGAAGAACAAGTGAAAAAAAAATCAAAACATGAAGACAAGTAACTTGTTATTTCTTCTAAAATTGTACAAGGTCCCTAGGGACCTTGTCACTAATCCCCGTACTATATATGTTGAAATCTCAATAACACTCGAACGTGATCCCGTATCCCTTCGAAACTTATTTTAAACGATTCAGCTTAATTTATTCTTGGAATACATGTATAAATTCTTTTCAAAAATGCATTGAACAAAAAGATATAGGCACATGAAATACGAAAAGGTCCCTAGGGACCTTCTCACAAATCGAAGGGTTAATAAGCCGATTGTAAGAAATGTGATTCAAGTTCAACATTTGAAAACAAATCTGCATGTACGGCAGTGGCTGAACGTGCAGAGGTGCTTGCTGTTACTTGTTGGCATGCATTACTTCGGTTTTCTCATATGCATTACTTCGGTTATCTCATATGCATTATTTCGGGTTTCAAACGAAAGTGTGCATATGCTTTATTGCGGGTTTCAACCGAAACTGTGCATATATGCATTAATTCGGCTTTTTCATATGCATTATTTCGTGTTTCAACCAAAACGGTGCATATATGCATTATTTCGGTTTTTTCATATGCATTATTTCGTATGCACAGTTCCGTATGCACAATTTCAGGGTGCCGTATATACCGGCTCGTATTTGCACATGCATACATGCTCTGCTCACACACACCCCAGCAAAAACTTTTAATTTTTTGGGAAGCACTTATTTTTGTATCAATAGAGTAACGCAATACAAGTCGCCTCAAGACAATTTTCGCTTATCGATTGTATTACACGTAATGCAGTGGCAAGACATTTTACATTTATTCGATTACCTCCAATGACATGCACATGTTAATAAACTAACCCCCCTACTATGAATCCATACGATACACGATAAACACTTGCATTCTGTTGTGCCGTATTACGAATTAAATTTTAGCGTATGAAATTCGATAGCTACCGCTTATCGTATAGCGTTAAATTTTGGTATTGCCATACGATAGCTATCGTATCAGCTGTTTAATTTCATACGCTTTCAAGCAGTTGACCATTTTTATACGATACGATACAATTTAACAAAATTAAAATAATGTATGTAAGTATTAAAATTTATAATATGAACTTATGGAAACGATTTGAACAAAATACTGTTTTTTTTTTTTCAGGCCGAAAATTGCGAGCATAAAACATCAAGTTGAGCATGTTGCTTCTCCGAGGGGTACGGTTTAGTTATTTGTGCAAGGATCGTTGATCCCAAACGCGTGACCTGAATCTAAAAACTTTAATACACACATGTAGCCAAAAGATTAAACTTTTCATTTTCATTTGAAACAAAGATTTCAAATTTCCAAGCACTAGTTTATTGATAAATTTGGCTTGAAGTATGCACATTTTTTAACACAATAGAAACCGTCGGTTGGGCTAATCCAAGTAACGCCTTATTGCCAACACTCTGTTTTTATGATCCCTGAGCAAGAAATCTCAGAGTTGTGAAAGCCTTTAATGTATTTGGTAAGGACGGCTATTTTTACGTGGGCGGAAGTCGTTCTCCACTTCTGTTAGAACATATGTACATTAGGGTGATTCAAAGTTGGAACTTTTTGAATTTCGACTGAGAACGTTCGGATTCTTGAAAATAATAGGGAAGACAAGTTCAATCTAAAATTTCAGCTTATTTGAACCAGATTTAGAGGTCGCTCAACGCTGTTGTTTCTTTTCCGGAAACTCCAGATTTTAAATGCATCTTTATTAAAAAAATAGGTATATTTTCATCAAATCTTGTCCGATTTCGTTGAAATTTCGTAAGTAGGTTCCTGTTGTAACTTCAAGTATTTATTAATCTAATTTGTTAACAATATTCAGTAATTTTAAGTAAGAACACGTGATAGCGAAAATCGTAATATAAGCGAAGTGGTGTGTAGTTTGCAAACGTCAACTTGCGAAGGATCTTATGAAACAGTGTTGCATTAGATGCGTCATTCAGTTCTTAGGAACAGTATTGTATTGAGATGCATCAGTCCCTCCGCACCTAGTCAAGAACCCTCCCGTTAGTCCTCATAGGCGAGCTTTCAACTGGCTACGATGGCGACGGAGTAAGCCTTGGTCCGTACTCACGCGATACATCATACTGCCAACTTTGCTTTGAATTACACCAGGAATCCACGGTGGACCCCGTGCATAGTTCCTGGCGTAAACGTTTGTCGAAACAGCGTACGATGATTCCGACCCGGCCCTGGACCCTTGAGTGGGAGTGGGTACAAGCATATTAAGCCGTGTTTCTGGCTGGCGGCCCCACCGAAATTCCGCCGGCGACTTATTGCTACTGCCAATGGGACAAGTTCTGTAAGTGCTAAGAATGGTTAGTAGTGAATCTAAATGATTTTACCGTCCGCGACTGCTTTCTTAAAGGCTTGCTTAAAGGTGCGCACAAAGCGTTCAGGTTCGCCGTTCGATGCCGGATGAAAAGGCGCAGTGGTGAGAGTCGTAATCCCATTGCTGTTACAAAAAACCTGGAACTCGGCCGCTGAGAATTGCCGTCCGTTATCCGTGACTATGGTATCAGGCAGACCTTCGACAGAAAATATTACTTTTAAGGCATCGATCGTTGCTTTAGCCGTTATACTGGCCATCTTTGTTACAAATGGATATTTCGAAAATGCGTCGATGCATATAAGCCAAGTAGCGTTATGAAACGGCCCTGCAAAGTCCAAGTGTATGCGCTGCCATGGACGTTAAGCTACAGGCCAATTTGTATATGCTCGAGCTGGTGAAGATGTACTTTGCTGTTGGCATATTTCGCATTGTGAAACTTTCTTTTCTATATGTGTATCCATAGAGGGCCACCAGCAGTGTTGACGCGCCATTTGCTTCATACGCGTCATACCCCAGTGTCCTTCATGCAGCAATTCAAGGACGGTTGCTTGTGCCGTCAACGGTAGGACCACACGCGTGTACTCTGTTCTCAATATAATGACCCCCATTTCCAAACTAAGCGCGTGCCGGTGAACAAAATACGGCTGTAGCTCGCGGTGTTGCGATGGAAGCTTCTCAGGCCACCCCTTTTCGATGAATCGCCACACTTGTTTAAGAGTGCGATCCTTTGCAGTTAGGTTTGCCAGATGTTGCACATTAAGTGGTGAAGCAGTTAGGTCAGATTCGACCTGCATGCATGCTTCACTTTGGTCGAACTCGGCATCCGGCCCTACTGGAAGCCGAGATAGAGCGTCTGCGTTACAATGCTTATCCGTTGGCCTATATCGTATAGTATACCGATAGGACATGAGCAGTAATGCCCAGCGCTGAAGGCGTTGTATCATCACAGACGGTAGTTGCTTATCAGGGCTGAATATCGACACCAGCGGTTTGTGGTCTGTGAGCAATGTAAACTGGCGACCAAACAGAAATTGGTGAAACTTCTTGACACCAAATACAATAGAAAGCGCTTCTTTTTCTATCTGACTGTAACGTATTTGGTGGTGGTCAAGCGTCTTAGATGCGAACGCGATGGGCTTTTCGGACCCATCCGGCATTCTGTGCGATATAACAGCTCCTATTCCATGCGAAGATGCGTCTGTTGCCAAAATAAGGGGTAACTGGTCATCGAAATGAATTAGCAAAGATGCTGTACTCAATTGGTGCTTAAGAGCTAGAAACGCTTTTTCTTGCTTCTCTCCCCACCGAAATTTTTCGCCTTGCCTACGTAGCTGGTTAAGCGGAGCAGCCTTATCTGCAAAATTCGATACAAATTTATTGTAATAAATAATTTTACCCAGGAATGCTTGAAGTCCCTTCAAATTTTTAGGCCGCGGCATTTCACTTATAGCTGAAACCTTAGCTGGAGACGGCGTGCAACCCGCTGCATCCAACACAAATCCGACATATTCAACTCGACGCTGCATAAAAGTGCACTTGGATTTGCGGCATTTTAACCCAGATGCTTGCAGTCGCTCGAATACTGATTGCAAATTTTCCAATAATTCAAGATAATTAATACACATCGGAATACCTTCAATGACTTGTTCCAATAGCTTCTGAAAAAGGGCCGGAGCGCTGGCCACTCCCATCGGCAGGCGTTGATACTGGAACAAGCCCAATGGGGTATTAACAACCATTAGCTGCTTCGCTTCTTCGGTCAGACCCACTTGCAAGTATGCGTCTGAAAGGTCAATTTTGGCGAAGATTGTGCCTCCTCTTAGCTTGCGGCACAGTTCTTCAATGCGGGGTATTGGGTAGTGATCTACCTCGAGCTGTGCGTTCACAGCTTTGAAGTCACCGCATATCCGCAAACGCTCGTCTTTTTTTTGAACCACTACGATGGGTGGTGCCCATTTGCTGAACGTAATTGGTTTCCATATCCCGCAGTCCGTTAGACGCTGTGCCTCTAATTTGACGTCATTCAATTACGCGAAAGGTATAGGGCGAGATTTGAAATACTTAGGTGTCGCATCATGTTTTAACCGTAACTCAGCTTTTGAAATTGTGCAATAACCCAACGTGCCTTCAAACACATCTGCAAATTTTTTCAAAAGCCCTTCGTTATTTTGGTTAGGATCCCACGTAACGGCGTTTACGTGATGTGCTTGGCACGCGCATAATCCCAATTCTTCTAGCAAATCCGTTCCAAGGATTTCACTATTTTGCTGAACAGTAGCTACAACAAGTTTCACCAGCCGTTTAATTTGCCCATGATGAATAGTGACATCAATAGTTCCCAAAATGCTTACAGCACTTCCCCCATACGCGATTAGCTTACCAGTTGGATAGGGCGTAAGACTTGGCTTTCCAATTTCATTATATACATGATTGGCTTAATCACGGAGCAAGTGGCGCCGGTATCCATCTGAAACTTGACCGGTACTTCATTCACCCCTATTTCAAGCAGATATTTTTTTCCTACTTTGTTTGGCACGGTGCTCGTAATTGAAGCAACAAAGTTGACACACTTCGCTGAGCGTTATTGTTGTTAGTCTGCGGTTGCTTCTCCTTTTTATTATTTTTATTGTCGGTAATTGCACTTTGTGCTTTACAAACTGGTGCGATATGGCCGAAACGATTGCACTTTCGGCATTGTGCATTACGAAATTTGCATTGGCTTCTGGAGTGGTGCTTCCCGCACCCAGAGCAGGATTGAAAACAGTTACTCTTGCTTGCGCTTGGCTTAAGCTTTNTTCCCGCACCCAGAGCAGGATTTAAAACAGTTACTCTTGCTTGCGCTTGGCTTAAGCTTTTTTTCAGCTTGGTGCTGTTTCAGCTGAAATACTTCGCTGCGTTCTGCTGTGCTAGATGACATCCGCTTTTTCATGGCCTGTGTTGTTTCATAGCTTTCGGCTATAGCTATAACATCTGCGGGTGCCGGATCAGGTTTTTGTAGTGCTGCAGTGCGTACCGGTTCATGTGGCGAATTCAAAACTAAAATGTCTCGAAGCAGGTCATCTATAAATGACGTTTTGCAAGTGTTGTTACTACACACGAACCTGCAATTTCGTGCTATGACCCGCAGTTCAGCAACCCATTGTTCTGGTTTCATTTTCGATGACAGAAATTCGTATCTTGAGGCCAGTACGTGAACATTTTCCTTGTAGTGCGCTGACAACTTTTCTATAATGCTTACGTATGTCTGCGTTTGTATGTCTTCTGTGCCGAAAAGTTTGGATAGCAGCTCAAAACAGTCGGCTCCTACCCACGAGAGGAAAAATGCTCGTTTCTGTTCCTGCTTCATGATTGAATACGCTTCGAAGTGCTGGGTTAATTGTGCGATGTACGAGTCAAAACTTTGCTTTGTATGCACATACGGTGGAAAGGCTGGCACGGATATATTTGATGAGGTTATGGTCGACTCACGAGGATTTTCTTGCATTTTAGCAAGATTTGTTTTTTGCTCTTCCAATTGTGCAATCATCCATACTCTATTTGTACTCAATACGTCCACTAAAAAGTCCTGCTGTTGCTTTAGCAGTCTCCCGATAGTTTCTTCCATGGTAATGCAGCTTTTTACCTTTTTGCCTTTTTACGCTTAAATCGAACGCCTCGGGTAGTTTATTACGATTCCGTGAACTCACTGACTTTACCTCGTCGCCAGTTATTTGTTGTAACTTCAAGTATTTATTAATCTAATTTGTTAACAATATTCAGTAATTTTAAGTAAGAACACGTGATAGCGAAAATCGTAATATAAGCGAAGTGGTGTGTAGTTTGCAAACGTCAACTTGCGAAGGATCTTATGAAACAGTGTTGCATTAGATGCGTCATTCAGTTCTTAGGAACAGTGTTGCATTGAGATGCATCAGTTCCCAAATATCGGTTTATTAGAACACAGTTTATATAAGTTCAATAAATTAGTTTTAAATGCATTAATTAATTAGTTAGTAACTAAGTTTTGCCTTATAAAAAATTAATATTTGCAATATTTTTTTTTTTGTTCCTTAACCAGTGAGCATATTCTTAATACATCTAAGAGCACGTTATAATTCCTACCAATAGTGGACCTCATCATTAAATATTACTAATCATCAAATAAAAAAAATCACCACATAAACATCACTCATACGCCATGTTGAATCCAAGTGTTTTCCTAGTCATTTCAAATATTAATAGTATAATAATAATATTTTGGCGCTTGCACCTTTGCCAAGTGTTTGGCCGAGCTTCTCCTCCAAATTGTGGTGTGCGTCGTGCCTTGAATTTTAGATTGAACTTGTCTTCCCTATTATTATCTTCAAGAATCCAAACGTTCTCAGACGAAATTCAAAAAAGTTCCAATTTTGAATCACCCTAATGTACATATATAAAAACTTCTTTCGAAAGTTGAAAATTTCTCTGAACTCTAATGAACTTTTTTTTTTTAATAATTAACAAATAAAACTTATTCCAGTTACTTACATTATCGAGTTCACCTCCAGAGAATTGGAAGCATCTCTCACTTGCCTTCGTACTGTAGCCTCTATGCTAGTTTCGTCAATTTATTCCTTTTAATTTATATAAAACTCAATTGAGGTTGAAGGAAGCATGTTTTTTTTAATTTTGTATGGCTTATGGGAAGTTTGCGCGACTTTTAAGTACAAAATGTTTGCTTTGAAAATATTCTAGCTAGACTGCTGTTTCATTTAAATTCACTACAAATGGTAAACAAATACCACTGTGATTCACAATAGTACATCTATCGGGCGTGTGGAAACCATAATACGAAAACTCATTTTATACGATACGCTTGCAAGCGTTTATCGTCTATCGTATGAAAATTCATAATAGGGGGGTAAATTCTGTAAACGAAAAGGTAAGCGGTTACCTCAAATTGGGGAACCACTTTTCGAGAGTAACCGCTTACCGTTTCGTTTACAGAATGCATTATTTTAACATGTGCATGTCATTGGAGGTAATCGAATATATGTAAAATTTCTTGCCTTTGCATTACATTTAATACAATGGATAAGCGAAAATTGTCTTGAGGCGACTTGTATTGCGTTACTCCATTGATACAAAAATAAGTACTTCCCAAAAAGTTTAAAGTTTTTGCTGGGACGCCAGAAACACATTCAACTGGCACTCATTGCTTATATACATGTGTGCATTTGTGCATTAGTGGAAAACAAACTGCTCACACCCTGCAGAAAATCTGACTAGCTCAGAACTAACGCAGAACTAGACCTTTTGCCGACAGCGCTAGTTCTAGCTCAATACCCAAGCAATGCTTTCAACTGTCCAGTTTTACACGGTGATGTCATTTGCGGTTGCAATTGTCACCGGGTGTAGTAATTTGCAACTTGTTTTAATCGGTTCCGCTTTGGACAGTTCTTTTCTTTTACAGATTCCATATTTGTTACACATTTTATAAACAAACAAAAAATTATTGTAGGCGGCACGCACAATTTAAATTCATTAAATCACACAACTACCTCCACGGTTATTTGAACTCGCGACCAACGATGCTTGAGTTGGAGGTCTTCTCGCTGAGCTACTTTCATATTGTACGAAAAGTGGTCATTTGTAAACTTGCACCGCAAGTCTCAACTATCCCGCTCTGCAGCCGTTTTGCACTAGTTCAGATATAGTTCTGAAATATGTAGTTCAGAACTAGCGCTTTGTCAGACTGTCTCTACATAAATTTTACTGCAGGGCAACAGAGTGTATGCTGTTTGTTATTAAGCGTAGGCACATGTGTGTAAGCCGATTTTCGTACAAATTTCTGCTCATGCCCATGCAGAAAATATATTTTTTAAATACAATTTTTTATAAAACGTTATTTTTTATAAAACGATTAAATAAAAAGTGATATGTTGTTTGTTTTTTATCACAGAAATCATATTAAAAAATTATTTTAAGGCTGCGTTTCTTTATACATTCCGGATAATCCCATTTCACAGCCGGAATAAACAGAATGCGTTTGAAATATACGTTGACATATCATCAGGAACGTTCTAAAGAATAAGTAAACAAAAAAGTTTATTCCAAACGTTCAGAATGAATAAAGAAATGCAGCCTAAGATTTGAGTTAGAATTCGAAGTGTATGAGTTTCTCTACACAAAGCACACACATGTGCGTCATGAGGAGCAAGTTTTCAATTTTTTATATGGACAGCACACGTGTGTGAGCGTAAAATGTTAGGATCTGCTGCGCATTTATGTGCAAATACGAACGCTGATATATACATTTTTATTAAATTTACCAAGTGCATAAAAGTGCTTTCAATTCCCTATTATAATTCACGCCATCCAAAGTATATATTATTATTACGGTGACCACTTTACCAGTTGTGGCGGGACAGTACCGATTTTTCATATTTGTACCGATAGAGTCCCGATTTTCAGTGTTTTCTTTATTAATTTAACAGCGGTCTTCCTGTACTCTGGCCCAAAAATAATTTTTCGTAGAAACGTGGCAGCACTTTCGTTATCACAAAGATCATAGAATAAAGGGGAGCCACAATCATAGCCAGCATCCTTATTTTCTATGATCTTTGTTTATGTTTTATTCTGCTAAACTGGTGCTCTCCCTATATTGCAGTCATCATTCTTGTCAATACATTTTTTTGAGGCTTTCATAATTATTTGTTAACTTTCGTTTTTTTTTTAATGAAACGATTCTAACTTGAATTTAGTGAAATTATAAAAAATAATACTTATTCCCTCAAAAAATTCATGGATTTGAAAAATATAAGCTGTAGATACAATGGCAAAAATATAAATGGGGAAGATATCATTGCTTGGCTATTCCCCTTTCGAATATTTAATGTTTATTATTTGAGTATTATTATTAATTAACGGTGACAGGTAATAAGATCAACGGAAATAAGGTCAATTGACTTTATTTCCCACCCTGGTGCGAAATAAAGTCAATTGACATTATTACCTTTTTAAAAACGAAATAAAATCAATTGACATTATTTCTCTTTCAAACATTAAATTT